CATGGACAAGCTCTAGAAGAGGGCCCATGGGAATCCCATGAGGTTTAAAAAGGTCATGTGCAAGGTGGTGCCCGTGGGTCAGAGCAGCCCTGGTACCAGCACAGGCTGGGCACGAACAGATCCCAGCAGCCCTGCCCAGAAGGAATTGGGGCTGCTGGTGGCTGAGAGGCTGAACATGCCCCAGCCATGGGCACTGCCAGCCCAGAGAGCCACACGTGTCCTGGGCTGCATCCAGAGCAGGGTGGGCAGCAGGGCAGGGAGGGGATTCTGCCCCTCTGCTCTGCTCTGCTGAGAGCCCACCTGCAGGGCTGCATCAGCTCTGGGGGCACAGCACAGGAGGGACAGGGACCTGCTGGAGGGAGTCCAGAGGAGGCCACAGAGAGATCAGAGGGATGAAGCAAAGGGAAAAGGCTGAGATATTTGGGATTGTCCAGTGTGGAAAAGAGAAGGCAAGACTATTCATTTACAATGGCATGCAGACACAGGACAAGGGGGAATGGGTTTAAACTGAAAGAGAGTAGGTTTACATCAGATATTAGGAAGGAAATCTTTATTGTGAGTGTGGTGAAACACAGGTTGCCCAGCATAATTGTGGATGCCCCATCCCTGCAAGTGCTCAAAGCCATGTTCAACAGGGCTCTGAACAACCTGGTCTAGTGAAATGTGTCCTATTCCATGGCAAGTGGGCTGGAACTAGATGATCTTCAGGGTCCCCCTCCAACCCAAACCACTCTATGATCAGCCAAAGACTGGTACTAAGAGTTATTGAACCACTTGAATGCTGAAAAATATAAATTACTACCAGAAACTCCACAACTATCCTTATTATACATGTTTCTGGGCTTCACTGCTAAATGTATGAAGTACTCTAAGGAGGCAGAAAATACTTAGCAATGTGTGTAACTTCCACAGCATTAATGTGCTTTTCTTTGATTTATACTGTGGTATGAGATGCAATTATTGTTTATTTTCTCCTTTACAATCATGGCCAAAGTTTTACAGTTCAGTCTTTTCTCAGGAAGCATGTTTCTGTACCTTTTCCTCACAATTTTCTCACTGGGTCTTTAATATTAAAGATTATCTACAGACCAATCTGCAGTTCCCCTGAGACAACAGTATTTTTTACAATTAATTTTTTATCTGTTTGAATAGCTTTTACATCATTGTTGAAAACTAATTCAATAGCAAACACTGCAGGATTAGGACTTCAGAAAAAAATGTGAATGTTGATTAAGAACATGTACATTTACCTTGAGGGTGTAAGATTCTTGTTTGGTTTTGGGTGCTAGAGCAAACTCTAGAACCACATTCTCACAGAAGCACAAGAGAACTGCCTTAAAAACCTAACCTCTCTTTAGCATTTGGAGCGTCTTTTTAATTCTACTAAATTTTAACAAAAAATTCAGAAGAATTTAGTGTGAAGCAAGACAACACTTTAAACAGAGCAGCATTTTGTATAATTCTAAACTAGAACAGCATTAGTTGGGCATCTAAAGACCATGTAAATGTCCTGGTGACAGGGAAAGGTTACACTTATTCAAGTATCTTCTCTGTAGCAGAGCCAAGAGTTACTAGGAAAAAACATTTTGGGAAGTAAGAAGAACCGATAAGAAATGAAAATGCTCAGCATCTTCCATCCTGCCATGCAACCAGAATGTGAAGGGAAGGTCAAAATCAGTGACCTGACAAAATCACTGAGCTGTATCAAGAAAAGTGGGTATACCAACTGGTGCAAGGCGATTGGTCTTCCCCAGCTTAATTCAGTTGATATGGCTATGAATTTCTCTTTGTCTCAAGCCCTGGTTTATACAAAGTTGGGAAATGTTTTAGTCTAGTTTAAAAAAGAAATTTGAAATAAAGCTGAACTATTCATTAAGCTAGATGACAGTATTTGCGGCAACAGTCTAACAATCAGTATTTCATTTAATACACATTTGAACAATTCAATCAGTATTTTATGAACAGGCCAATTTGAAAATAGGCAGCTGTTGGCTTTGTTTATTAACAAATGTGTAACCGCATAGCAGACAATTTCATAGGAGTACAAACACTGGCTACTTTTGCAAGAACAATTTGCTGTATGTGTACAGGGTCCACCTGGTTTGTATTTACTTCAGGTAACCAGGTATATACAATACCAGCATGTCTGTTAACAATTTTTTACCAAAACAAGAAAGAGGGAGCCTCTGTTCATAGGCACTACTTTATTAGCATCTTAACAAAATATTTGAGAAAATGACAGTAGGTAGGAACAATGTTCTCAGTAGAGTTCAGGTTAACAAGCATTTCTAGAAAACCATTTTGCTGTACTTACTGTTTTTTCACATGCCAAAATTCTCTCTGAACCACATACTCATTGTGTATGTTGCTGGAACCCACCTGCCATTTGAACTCAGTTTTCAAGCAGTGTGATTTCCATTGAACTTTATTACCTAGTACTTGTCCACTATGGGGGGAGTGGAAGCTGATGGGGAAGGAAGGTAGTGGGGGAAGGGAAGAGAGAGGGAAGGACTAGGGTGGAACAAATGGGAAATACATTTAAAAGCGCAGATAACTGACAGTAAAATATATGTTCTTTGGTTAGCAAGCAGAAAAAAAGGAAAGGACTTGCATACATGATAGATACGCACTAGCATTCTAAAGCAGAAGACAAGAATGTCAAGAGTGTATTTTTTCCCCACTGCCAGATGGAAGGGCTATTATTATAAATGAAAGGCAGCAGTAGTGGATGCCAGGCACTTTTGTTGTGTGCCAGATTCTGAAGTCCAGATGTAAGCAGGTTACCCCTGGGACAGGACAGGCTTCAGCTCCCGCAGCAGAACAGAACCAATCACAGTTTTCTCAGTGTTTATGATGAGCTGTGCTGTAGAGCTCTCCTTCAGCTCCACTGTGACTAGCATCAGTGACCCACTGTGTACAGTCTTAGCTGCAAACCTGGAGGGAAAAGGAAAAAAAAAAAGAAAAGAGAAAAATCACTGAGGATCTTAAGGTCAAAGACTGCTAATGTTTCTTTCTGCAAGAGTTAAATTAGCTCAAATATAATAAAATACTTCTAAATTCACAAATGCATTTCAGGGGATAAACCATAAAACCTCCCATAAATTCCTCAAACATAATTTATGTAAATATTTTTGCATTTTATAAGGGCAAAGAAGTATCATGCAAAATTTTGAATTTAGGAGTAAAAACAAAATATTATTTAAATAATTTTTAATGTAAATATTGATTCTTCAGTTTATCTACCATATTCATACACACTGACAACCTGACTACAGCTGTATAGAATTTTCAAAAGGCTTTCATTAGTTGGTGCCCCAAAGACAATACAACTATGTTAAATGTAGTAGAACATACATAAAAAGCCAAACTATTGTACTTACTAAAATATGTCTCCTCCTGTAATCCCAGAAATTAATTAAAACTAAAACCAGTCAAAATTATAAACATGAAACAATCACTTTGAAATGACAGTAGCAGCAAGACAGAGTTATTCTGTGAATTTATCTCCAGAATCATAAAAATGTGGCCAATATTTTTAAACATTTTATACTTATTAAAAATCCTACAAAGGAAATAAAAAACTACTAACCAATCAGACAGACAAAAGTTAGGACTAATGCACAATTACTAAATTCCAAGACATGAAGAACCCACTAATTACATGGAATTAAAAGCAAAACTAGCCTTTTAAGCACCACAATTGACTGAAAAGCCATTTTAGGAACAATGAACTTCTGTCAATCCTGTTAATTCATTCTGTGTGCAGAGCCAGGCCCAAGAGACAGGAAGCAAGGATGGCAACAGCGTCCATCTTTCCATCTTCCACAAGGAGCACAACATGCTTTCCCCCCTTCTTGGTTACTTCTCAACAACAAAGTTGCTGCACATGGGCTTTTGAAAACACTAACAAGTGTAGAGCAGGTCTGTGACCCCGTCTGACCCCACTTTGCAGGGCCAATCTCCCCTCCTCTTTCTGAATGACACGTGTCTGAATCAGAGCCATCTGCCTCAATTTGCGCAACATCTTCAGTCACAATAGGACCCAGTTAGCCCTGACAACAGCTCACAATACAGAAAAATCAAACTGCTGCGCTGACAGCACGCTATGGCCTATTCAAGAGCAAACCAACTGGTCAGTGTCTCCTGTCTGACAATCAGCATGGGCCTTGCAAAGCGCCTATCCAAGCCCTTGGGGATCTGTTTAATTACCATCTACATAAAGGAGGGAGTTTATCAGGAGATACTCAAAAAACTTCACTCCAGACTTAATTAAAATATTAGCCACTTAAGCAGGAAGCAGATTCTTTTTAAACGAGAAGTAATTTCTGTCTTTTTTTTTTCTTTTTAAACTAAGCATATCAAAATCTCATAACACATTATACTAATTAAGGAAACATGGGGCACTTTTCTAATGTCACCCATCATAGGTCAATCTGTTTCTTTTGTCTGGATTACAGATACATTCAAAGACCTCTCTTTTTAATAGAAGGTTATAAAACAATATTACTAGTACAAAAATTACCTACTTAGCTAGTTATATCAATGATTTCATCTATTTATGCTGCAAGATAGAAGATGACTATTTCTCTTGTTGACTTCCACAGGGGATAATTATAGAAACAATAGTCTTATTAGTCACTTTATTTACTTAACAGTTGTGCCTTGGGACAACACAGAAGCAGATTATCTCTGAGTATGCACATAAATAGGTTGCTAGTTGGCACTCCTGCTGTGCTTCATAGCCCCGAGGCTTGATTTTACCCTCTTTATCAAAAGCTGAAAGTGATACAAAGTCAGAGTTCTGGCAAAGCCAAGGTGGCCCAAAGCATGAGAGATGAGTTTTGTGCTGATATTTTTACATGTGAATTTGCAAAATCACTTAGGGGATCAATAGTACTTTTCCATAGCCCTGAACAAACCACATAAAATCAATAAAATGTGAGTTTGCATGTGGTTTGCAAGATGCAAAGGGCCTGATACTCAGGTAATTTTACACAAAGCGTTAATAAGCATAACTAGCAGCAGCTAATCAGCTTCTATCCATGGTCACCGATATAGCGCCTGGAATTGCTCGGTGAAGAATTGGACCGCAACAGGAAGACTTATTTCACCATTAAAAATGCACATATAGAAGAGAACCACTCAGTGGGTTTACTGCTGCTTTTGAACTTTGGAAACCAAAATTTGCTCCCTAATCTAGTTTCTAAGGAGAGTTATAAATACACTTGTATAATCTGTAAAACTGAATACATTTATAACAGGATGGAGCAGTTGGCACTGGCAGTAAAACTGGTTTGTCAGTTATTTAGATGTTTTAAATACACTGTGATTGAAGAATTTAGTTAATAGCTGTTTTTTCAACTAAATACATGCTACTGCATTTATATACTAACTCTTACCATAAACCCTCAAGAATTTTCCAAAAGGTGTGTTGTTCCCAACTAAACACCCAGGGAAGCCTAGAAAGGCATGAAAAAAATCTCACAGCAGCAAAAAATTAATCACTAATAACATATGTTCATGCTTAGTGAGAAACTTTCATTTTCTCCATGAGGTCAGTAATAATTTTTCACTTTGTAGGTTAGAATTTGAATTAAAAACAAACAAAAATCCCCAAACGAAACCAAAAAAGACAATAAACCCACATGAAATTTGGCTTTAAGAAGCCTTGAAAACTGCACTGGGATACATTTAAATCTAGGATGTACATTGATTGATTGTAGGTCCAAAAGAATGAATTTGTCCTGTGGACAACTCTAAACATAAGACATGTATTATGAGCATGGTTCTGTTGCAACAAAGGATCCATCTGTAAATATAAAAAAAATCCCAAACAAACAACAAAAAAAACACCCAAAAACCAAAGCAAATGAGAATGCATCTGGAAAACAAATCCAAATATTTACTAACAGCTTCAAGATGGCTGTTTCTGCTATGATGCAGTATTTAATTATGCGATAATATTGATTCTAAATCTGATTTTACATCATTAAAATATTCAGGAACATTTGCAGCTGTTAGTATTTTTCCCAATTTAAAAAATCAAGGCAGATTGGAACAAAAAAAACCATGAGAAATATTTGCATATTCTGAACATTTACAATTTATTTTTTTAGAAAGAATGTTAAATATTCCGAGCATATGTGACGTGCAAAAAAGAGAAGGAGTTAATACATTATTTTTATATAAATCTAGTACCTATCAGTAGATAAGGAAATATACATTGAGAAACAAATTCAGCACCAATAAAGTACTACATATTTTTAGAAAATAACTCGGTCTTTCAGGAGTTAAAAATAAAGCATACAGTCTCTGTGACTTCCAATGAAAATAAAATTTGTTTATGAGAACCATAGAGAAAAATTTGATATATAGTTGATATAAAGAGAAAACACAGAGTGTCAGATACTAAAGTGTGACAGCGTTTGCCAAACACTGACTTTGCAATGATGACTAGTCTGAATACAGACGGGAGTAATTTTTTCTTTTTTTGTAGACAAAATATAGCTACTACAAGGAGATGCATTTTTTGCAGGAAACATTCTGAAAATTTCAGTGGCAGTGAATATACAGCAGCAGACTAACTCACTTAAAACCTGCTCGTTAAAATTCAACACTTGAGAAAGTAAATTTACACCTGAACACTCACTATCAGATTATGAATAAGTGCAAATTGGGATATTTACAGCAGAGCCGGGTTCGTTACACATAATTCAACAGCATTAAAACACACTCTCTCCTGTCCAGTGCTTTTCTTCCTCTTTGATTTTTTTATTCAAGCTAAATTTTCTTATTTTTCTTTTCTACTGCTTACCACAAAGGGTGACAATGGCCCATGGAGGTTAAAACTTTTTTCCCTCCGCCCTTTCTTTAAATCTTGTACATGAAGCCTTCAATTACTGCCTGCTGAAGCAGACAGAATCCTATTAGTAAGGAAGACAATCAGAAGATGCAATGCCCTGCCCTAGCTGTAGAAAAATAATTAGTCCAAAGCTGACAAATGTGTAATCAAGTTATGCAATGAGTATATTCAAAAAGGAAAAAAATACTGCTGTGAATTAGTCTTCCATTTGTAAATATAAGAATGAATAACTACAAAGGAGCTTCCAACATGTCAACTGGGCAACAAAGATCCTTACACTTATAGTTTCAGTACTCTGAATTTTTGTATTGCTCTGCTGTGTACAGATTTCACCTTATAAATAGCAACTCATCTAAAAATTGGCTACTTGTATTTATTTGCATTAAAAAAAATTACTTGTATTCATTCTCTGAGTAAGTCTTAGAAGGTGAAAAGGAAGTATTTGGGTATTAGCTCTGATCTGGGGATAGAGAGAGCTTAATACTAAAACTGTAAACACAAACATACCCACAAAAAGAAGGAACTTAATCTGGTGATGTTAACATTGGCTACTACTAATAAAATTTGATTGCCATTTACCTTAAAAATCATATTATGATAATGTGACTTTCTTTTTCCCTGCATATTTAATGTAATTTTAACATTATCTCTGAACAAATTGTTCAAAATACCTAATTCATTAAAATAATGTAAATATTTTCCAAAATTATCTATTTTTCCAGGGGGTAGAAAATAACAAAATTGTAAAATAAACTGCACTCAAATGTACATATTTTTACCATGTTTATTTGCATTGCCAAAACAGATTTTAAGTCTGTCCTCAGTTTCCAGTAAGCAGCTGCACTGTACCTCTAACAAAAATGCAGAAATACAAGTGGGTAGTCTGAACTTACTGTCCAATACATAGCACTACTCCACATGTTCAAAAAGATGCTGCATGAACTTTTTATCATCTTCCAAATTTATCATTAGTTTAAAAATATCAGCATTTTTATATGTGGGTATTTATATCTCTTCCCTTAAACTTGAGCTAAGAGCTTGAATCAAAGTATTTGGTCCTCCCAGCTTGAAA